TAAATTGTATTGAATGGAATGGTGGTGATTATGATTAACTAGGACTAGGTTAGTTAGCAAAGACCAGCATTTTCCCATTGCTCCTTCGGCCTTGTGCCACAATTACTGTATATTTCTGTAATAAATATTGGATCTATATAAATTGTTCACCTGAAACACAAATATAAGATAGTTGTTTTCCCAAGAGCTCTCATACACACACATACATACACACACATACACATACACACACACCTTAGTTATCACCATTCCGAGATCTTTGAGCAACATATCTGGCGATAAAACAAATAAATTGAGTTCAGGCTTTTTCGATGAATGAAGTGAATCTGCGTGTATGTCCTGCGGCTATCAATATCCATTGAATATATATTTGTATATGCCATCGCCATTCAGAATGCAGGCAATCATGGCTCTCCACAGCTGCCTGTCTTTTGTAGCTCTAAATAATGTTCTATGTTCTACCACTCTTAGTGTTAGTTCTGCCGTTCATTCACACAAACGCGCCACGTAGCTTACAATCAGTTCCTTTGATTCTCTCACCATTAAGTATTTATACTGATGACACAGTTATTTAATTTTGTCTTCGTAACAAGCCCGAGAGGTTCCACAAGTGAAACTGTTAACTGCTCTCGAAAAGGATCTCCTATCAGCAGTCAATTTGCCCAAGGAATAGCTAGTATATTTTAACGTCTCCAAAACAAAACTTTTCTTTTAATCACCATAAAGAAGCTTTTCTGCGTGCCATCAGCATTCTAACCTCTAGGAAAACAACACTTTGCACCTTCTTGGGCTCACATTTTCCACTGATATGAAGCGGAGTGATTATATTATATCAATGTATCTACTACTAGGAAAGTTGGTTCACTGTGTCGTGCCAGATAATTTTTCTCGTCTCGCCAGAATCTATCTTGCATCTTATACATCTAACATTCGTCCACACATTGAATACTCCTGCCATATCTCGTCTGAAGATTCTGCTACATATCTTGAAATTCTTGATAAAATCCAATGAGTCTGTAATGTAATCGGTCCTGACCTGACATCTCGACTTCAGTCATTTTCTCACCGACATGACGTGGCTTCCTTCCGTCTTTTCCACAAATATTTTCATGGCAATTGTTCTTATTAGCTTTCCTCATTGGGGCCTCGACTACATGAATTTAAGCTTGCTACTAGAGTGGGTACTAGATTTCATCGTTTTACTGTTGAACTGGGCAGATGTAACGTAATAGTTTATTTTCTCGCACTTCTTGCCTGTGGAGCTACCTTCAGATTCCGAGCTTCCCTGCCACTGACAATCTTCAAAGATTTAAATGAAACGTTGATCGCCATCTTTTGTCTTCCTGAAATCTTTTCTTTTATTGTCTTTTATCCTCACTAAACTGTTCACTGCTTTTAATTTTCAGTAACACCCTTGCGTCCTAGTGGCATTATCGCCTTGCTTGGGGTAAAATGACATGGACCGTTTTTGTCCGTCATGTGCAAGAAATTTCAGGATTATTTTTTCCGGATTGCAAATATTAGTTGTTTTATAGTTCTTATTTTACCTTAGCACTTTCGGTTTCTTTCTTTTTTATATTCGCCGATCGAAAATGTAAATGCAATGCTAATCGCCATCTTCTGTCTCCTTGAATCATGAATTTTTAATGTTTTCTCTCTCTCTCTCAACAATGTATTCTCAGTTTTTCTCACTCTCAGTGACTGTCTTGCGTTTTCGTCTCTTTATCCCCTTGCTTGTGAGTGGGTGATGATTAAAAAGTACACTTTCTCGTTCCTTCCACATTCTGTCCAAGATATTTTTAACTTTTATAATCAGTCCAAATTCGAACTCACTCTGCCGATTTCATTTTCCCTGATGCTAACCATTGAGCTACCCTTATATGTATCACTTTCCGATAAGCTCCCTCAATGCTTTTCTCCTTCTCCCTCTCTTTTTTTATCCCTTTTTTGCCTCTCTATTCTTTTTTTCTCCTTCTCAACTAACCAGTAATTTTGAATATCTCAAGAACCAGCTGCACACTTCTCATGTAACTAATCGATAAGACGGCCTTAATATGCGTGCTTTAACAGACACTCTCCCGTAAGGCTACCAAGTCGGCAGTGAGACGCCATTGTGAACTTATGTACTACGCAATCGGTGCATGCGCAACGAATAAGCATCCATTTTTGCTTGATACTTGGATATTCTTGTTGTGAATCTATTTGAATTGTTAAGAAAGCCTACGAGGATGATTCAACAAGCAGACAACGGATATAATTTTAGTACCAACGTTTGAAACATGAATGGAGAACAACATAAATCTGTCCAAAGGAAATAAAAACCTAAAGAAGAATACCGTAAAATCCGTTCAAAATAGAACATACTAAAATCCGTTCGACGTAGAGCTCTATAAAATCAGTTCAAAATAGAACATACTAAAGTCCGTTCAAGGTAGAGTTCTATAAAATCCGTTCAAAATAGAACATACTAATATCCGTTCGAAGTAGAACACTATAAAATCCGTTCAAAATAGAACACTATGAAATCCATTCGAAGTAGAACACTATAAAATCCGTTCAAAATGGAACATACTAAAATCCGTTCTAAGCAGAACACCATAAAGCCCATTCACAGAGGAACGTTGTAAAATCTGTACAAAGTAGAGCTCTATAAAATCCGTTCAAAATAGAACATACTAAAATCCGTTCGAAGTAGAACACTATAAAATCCGTTCAAAATAGAACATACTAAAATCAGTTCGAAGTAGAACACTATGAAATCCGTTCAAAGTTGAAGTCCGTAAAATCCGTTCAGCGTAGCACGTTGTAAAATCCATTCAAAGTAGAATACCATTAAATCCGTTCAAAGTAGAAAACTGTAAAATCCGTTCAACGTAGCTCATTTTAAAATCCATCCAAAATTAGGTGTAAAGAAAACAGACGAACTTTTAAGCTTGTAATGAAGCTTTATTCAAAGTAGTTCGAACACTGCACATAATGCATTTTTTATAATAGATTAGTTCGAGCGGGAGACAACTATGGTTGCCTTCTCTACATCAGGAACGCATTCAAAGTAGATCTTAAAATTTGTTCTAAATGGAACACATTAAAATCAATTCAAAAGTAGAACATCGTAAAATCGTTTCAAATTAGGACACCCGAAAATTGATTCAAAGTAACATATTGTAAAATCTATCCGAAGCAGGAAACATGAACATTCCGTTCAAAGTAGAACAACCTAATATCCGTTCTAAATGGAATACATTAAACTCAGTTCAGACATCGTAAAATCGTGTCAAACTAAGACACCCGAAAATCCGTTCAAACTAGGACACCCGAAAATCCATTCAAAATAGAACTCCCGAAAATATTAAATTCATGAGATGCAGTCAAAGGGAATCGGCGACTGATAACACAAGAATTAGAAGACTTGGAGTTTCCACAAACTCTCCGAAAAGTATCCAGTTCTTGTGAATTTCTCGACTTCGTATTCTTCATGTGAAATTTCTAAATTATATTTATGAACTGCTGTATATTTATTTCCAACACTTTATATCCAAAATGTTGCCCATAAGTCCGGAAAGAACAGACACGAAAGTGGAACGAATTTTCTTTTTTATCAGTAGACTTTGTGTGATCGTTGGGTCACTGTCTAGGTAAAAGATTGATCACTCTGTTCAAATTCCCCATATCTTTTTATAGAACTTTGATGGTCCCAATGGAATGCAACGGTTGCTGAAATTAACATATTCTAAATAGAACGAAGAATGATTCGAGAGTTCAAAAAATAAACACTTCGACATTGTTGTGAAGCCGAAAAAGTAAATAAATAAATGACCACAACGGAAGTTAACGTCGTATTTTTAGATTTTTTTTTCTGGGTTGGCCTCAGATGTACCTCTAAAGATAATCAGTCTGGTTTTTTAGTAATTAATTTTGTAATTAAAACCAAATTGAATTAGCTGAAAACAAGTTCAATTATTATGTAATTAAAAAGGTGGACTAACAGAAGCCAATCAATTTTGAACAAGTTGCTCAATCAAAAAGAAGGACGTACACAAACTGTATTTACACTTTTGTGTGGTTGTGTATTTTCGTACGCAATTAGCATTTGTACACAGAGGTAGACAGAGAAGGGGGGGTCGAAGGAAAGAAGACGAATTAGAGAAAGAGACGGTGGAAATAGAATAGAGGAGTACGAAGAGTTCGAAGAGGGATAGCAGAAGGAAGTGAAAAGAGAGAAGGGAGGTTAAAATAGAAGTAAGAAAGGACGTAATAAAAGAAAGAAATGGAAGTGAAGAAGAAGAAAAAGAAGAAGAAAAAGAGGAAGGAGACGATTAAACAGAAGAAAGAGGAGAATGGTAAGACAAGAAGAAGAATAGGAAGAACAGAAAGAAGACGATTAAACATAAGAAAGAGGAGAACGGTAAGTAAGAAAAGAAGAAGAAGAAGAAGAAGAAGAGGAGGAGGAGGAGGAGGAGGAAGAAGAAGACGATTAAACAGAAAAAAGCGGAGAATGGTAAGACAAGAAGAAAAACAGGAAGAAGACGATTAAACATAAGAAAGAGGAGAAAGGTAAGTAATACAAGAAGAAGAAGAAGAACAAGAACAACAACAACAACAACAAATGCAATTGCAACTACAAAGCCAAGTCATTCTCTGCAAACCAAATAGATTCAATGACAGGTAGAAAGTTTTTCTTTCAAAATGATTTTTTTTAAATATCGGCTTCAGTTAGATTTTTTTTATTTTTTGTTTGTTTTTTGTTTATTTGTTTTTCCTTTTATTTAATGCAATTTTCAAGGGATTTTTCGTTTCTTTTCCGAATTATTTTACAGTTTCTTTTCTTTTAAGCTTTGTCTATTATTCAACATTGTTCTCGCTTTCGTACCTTCATGCATGAGTGAACAGGTACGTGTGTATGCGCTATTACAACCTCGCTTTTCCTCCTCCTGTCTTACTTGTTGTTAAACGCTGACTTTGTACTCGGGTCGGCAAACAAATTAGTGTTTGCTTCGAACGTTTCGAAATGTGATTCTTGACCTGAGTGCATACAAATAGAAAACCCGTGAATGCAAGAGAAAGGGGAAGCAAGGAAGAAGGAAAGAATGCAAAGAAAAAAGATTTTTTTAAAAAATGGAACACACAATACAGAAAAAAAGTAATAAAATTAGAGAGGAAAAAGAAGAAAAACATTAGCAAATAGGATGCAGTTAAATATAGAAAGAAAGAAAGAAAAAAGATTTTAATGGATAAAACAGAAGAGAAAAGAGTTAAAGACGGAAGTGTAGAAAGAAAGAAAGAAAGAAAGAAAGAAACAAACAAACAAACAAACAAACAAACAAAGATAGAGAGAACAGTGGATTTAAATAGATAAAAAAGGTACAAACAAACGGAAGGGTAGGTAGGTAGAAAGAAAGAAAGAAAGAAAGAAAGAAAGAAAGAAAGAAAGAAAGAAAGAAAGAAAGAAAGATAGATAGAAAGAAAGAAAGAAAGAAAGAAGAGCAGGATTAAGAAAAGACGGAATGAAGAGATAAAAAAGAAGAGAAGTAAACAAGGAAAGAAAGAAAAACCCAAATGTAGTCTCAAAGATGAAAAAGGAAGGGATAGAAAGTGAACAGTAAGTAAAGTGAAGTTAAAATTAAAATGTTAAGGAAGAAAAGGTACTATATAATGGAAGAAGAAAAGTGTTTTGCCTTTTCAAATAAAAATCAGATATTGCAACAAAAAATACTTGTATAAGATGGTCGCCACATAGACACTTGACAAAAGTAAATAGACATATCAAAAGTCTTCAACGATTTTAAGAATTCAAGAATATTTTAGCAGTCAAATGAGTATTTGGTAGTTTCTTTTTACTTTAGCTTTTATTCTCGTAGACATTTAGCAAACATGAAGCGTATATACATGGGATGCTGAAAATAGTCGAACCAAGTAACTAAATTCCTGCTGTTCAACCTACAACCACATCACGGCTAAACAACAAATAACTCGTAACCTAAAACTAATAAAGTGACTTTTCAAAGTAAATAACAAAGTTTAGAACTGAATAAATTCTACAAGAAGTAAAAATAAAAAAAAGTAAATAGGAAATTAATTAATAAAATAAAAATCAATAAATAAAAATATATAATGTGTGTGAAAAGTGAAGGAATAATCTTCGAATGCAGCTCAACAAATTTAAATAATTTTATTATTGAGAAAATATTCTTTGTTTGCTTTTAAGCTGAATGAAATGTTATAAAGTTCCTCGTAAACAATGTTCATACGAAAAATGTTTAGTTTTATTTTACAACGTAAAAGAAATCAATTGTGTTAGTATAAGGTGAAAAGCATGTGTGAAATTATCACGGGAAAATCCATGATTTACATTATGTTATGTCTGTGTGTGTAATGTAAGATTAGCAGCAAGCAATATCAGAGCGAATACAGCGACGTTTTAATCATGTGTCTCTTGAGTATTTCCGTCATGTAGACTAGGCAAACGGATTTATGAAAATACACGTCATAGAAGGTCATACAAAATATCTTGAAATACTAAAGAGTAAATTTATTCAAAAAAAATCGTCATTGGCTTCAACCACGGTCTCCAGACGACTTCGGAATCTTCTGGATCTCTTCTGGACGATCTCTTTGTTTCTGTTAGTGAATATATATATATATATATATATATATATATATATATATATATATATATATATATATATATATATATATATGTGAACAGCTTGCAGAAATACCAATTTCTTCAAATCCGGCATTTCCGAGTATTTGTAAGCATCAAATTGACATAACCATTACCTTACTTTTCCACTTAATTAAGTCATTATTTATCTTCAAGTAAAAGACTTACATTCTAAAATTGGCTATCTGTAGGATTTTCAAAGGATGTGATTATCACAAAAATTGGACGCTCGGTGAAAGGAAAAAAAAACGTTATTTGGTTTGATGAGTCTTCTTTCACGTTATTTCCTACTTATGCCTGGAGAACACCGCGGCGTAAACATTGTGATCCGGATTGTATAGTCCTGACAGTCAAACATGGCGGTGGCTCAGTAATGGTTTGGGCGGCAATCTTATGATATTCTTCTGTACATATCACCACTCTTACTGGTAGAATTACTGCAGATAAACATCTCGACATTCTCAATGAAAATGTCTTTACAGTGACTATCATACTTTTAACAGAAAGTGCCATATTTCAAGATGATAATGCACCCATATACACTGCAAAAAAGTGAAGTCATGGTTTGATAAGACGTAAGGTAATTAAACATCTTCTCTAATACAATCACCTGATCTCAACATAATTGAACCATTATGGGGAGTTCTATAGCTGAGAGTGGGGAACAGATTTCTTCCCCCATTGTCGCTGAAGCAACTTTCCGAGATTTTGATTGAAGAATGGGATAAAATTTCACTGGAAACAATTCAAAACTTATTTGATTTCATTCTACGTAGAATCAAAGCAGTTTTAGAAGTTAATGGAGTTCTAACACCTTATTAGTCAATAAATAAATGTTTAACCCTGTTATTCACATTGTTTTGTCTAACACTTATATATATATATATATATATATATATATATATATATATATATATATATATATATAACCAAATGAAAAAAAAAAGAGAGAGTAAAAATCCACCGTTCGTAGCATTTACTTTTTTAAAAGTGCTGAATACAAAGTCGAGCAATATATTATTATTACATTTTTATTATAAGTTATTACAATAAAAATATTTTGAAATCGCTACACAAAAACTTCCATGTTTCAATACTATGATTGTACTTCTTCAGACGATTAAGGCAATTTTTAAGGAAATTGAAAACAAAGTGTTACCTCTTCTTCGAAACTTAAAGTGGGGATCAGAATTAAAAATAGACTTATGGGTATGTCTTGATTAACCAATTAGATGTCAGATCTACGCTAAATAGAAAAGTAAGGTCAGAGGGGGAGGGTATTCATTTTTTATATTCATTGAGCTTCTTAAAGTGGCCTGTAGATAAAATTAAAAATATCGACATCTATATACCATATTAATATTACTAACTGGATGGCAATATATAGCAATATTTAAGCTGAATAAACAAAATAAGGTTATTACCCGTAGAGAGTGGACCATTATATACTAATAAATTATGGCTATGAGTAATGATAATATGTATACTTTTTTAAATTAACTATATTAAAAGGTTAACTGTGTCGGCAATTTACAGTTAATTCACTCCTTTGGTTTAATAGAGATATTTTGTCGGCAAATTTGATTATTTGTAATTTTTCATGTAAACATAAGAAGCGGTGTTCATTTAAAGATCTACAAGTTCTATTTTTTTAACATTTACCATTTTGCCGTAGTGATTTTTAAAAAGTTCCAAAAATATTTAGAAAGGGATACCCTATTTCTGGATGCGTTATTCGTAAAAGATAATATATGTGGATACTACCAAGTTTTAAAGTAATTCTTGGAACTTCCGATATAAATTTTTTTAACTGTTGGATTTTCTATAGTAGAAATAATGCTTAGGTAGACAAGAGAGTCTGTTTGACATCTGTTTTCTAATGGTCAGTCGTTAGAATTTCTACAATTACATTTGTTGCTATTATCTGCGTTTGCTGCTTTGGAATGGCAATTATTACTCAGGTTTTAAAATTTCAGATTTAAAATTTTATTGTTATGTTTTTTTAATTTTTTTTTCCAGATTATCGGTACAGTTATAGCTTAGTTTTAGTGCATTTCTATTAAAAATCTTACTAAGTGGATTATTTCTGGGGAAGTGTTCCTCAATTAAATAAAGAAACTTCTGCCCTAACTTAGTACTATTTGGTTAAATGGGGGCGTGTACCAAATGATTTTTCTGTTTCTATTTTTAATCCTACTATGACTGTTATGATTTATGTATTTGATGTCATGGCACTTATAGCCCATATTTTTAATGTAGTGTTATACAATTTAATATATTTGTAAAAGATATCTTAACTGGAAGAGTTATTGCTAATTCTATATTCTATGGAGGAGGATATATGTTTTATTATTGGTGGAGGGTGGTTAGAATTTAGGTGGGTATATATTGGATTGGTGTTTTTTTTTTCATGTAGGGTTGGAATGGATTATTACCTAGGTCAAATGTAACATCAAGGAAATCTACTTTTTTAAAAATTAGTATTGATCTTAACTTTAAGGTTGAAACATTTAAATTCTCTATGTATTAATTTCCTGATTTTGTCACCTTTAATGCTTGTGGAAATTTTTCACCACCATAAGGCCATCATCTCTATATAACACTATGTCATCAATGTTAATATCTTGATGGGCACTAAGATTATATAAGATAAATAAACCAACAAAATCGGAAGACTCAGCAGAGTCTAACGATACCATGCACATATCTAATTGGTCAACAGAGTTGTTCTTAATCCACTATTCTTTGTTATGGATCGGTTTATTTTGGCTTTGCAATATTTCAGAGAGTTCTCTGATATTTCCAACGAGGAGCTTCACATTATTATGAACTGTAGAAGATTTGCCCCTATCAATGACGCGTACAGAAAGAGGGCGTACCTTTCTTAATATTTTTGGAACTTAAAAGAACTTAATAAAACCCCTACGATAAAATGGAAAATATTGAAAAAAACTAGAACTTATAAATCTTTAAATGAAACCTACTTCTTATATTTACATGAAAAATTACAAATAATCAAATTTGCTGACAATAAATCTCTCTTAAACCAAAGGAGGGAATAAACTGTAAATTGCTGACACGGTTTATCTTTTACTTTAAAATACAGTTAATTTTTTTAAAAAAATACATATTACGATTTCTTATAGCCATAATTTATTATTATAATTGTCTACCCTCTATGGGTAATTACCTTATTTTGTTTATTCAGCTTAAATATTGTTATGTGTTGTCGTCCAGTTAATATTATTAATATCGTATATAGATGTTCCACATTTTTAATTTTACCAACATGCTCCTTTAAGAAGCTTCCTAAATACAAAAAAAAAAATAAAAAATAAAATTTTCTGCTAACTTTACGTCTGATTAACCCACCCATTCCTTCAACAAATGGAAAATATCATATTTATCTACAATCACGATATATTGGTCGCTAGCATATTTTCCGCAATCGTCAATGATGACATGTTTATGTCCCGGTTCATAGTGACATGAAAAAATAAGTCAATCACCTCCACCTCTGACCTTACTTTCCTATTTAGCATAGATCTGATATTTAATTGCTTAATCAAGACACGCCCTCAAGTCTGTTTTTAATTCTGATCTTATGTCCCTTTAAATTTCGGAAAAGAGGTAACACTTTGTTTTTAATTTTCATAAAAATCATTTAATCACCAGAATTTACCATCCCTGAAGAAATACAATCATAGTATTGAAACATGAAAATTTTTGTGTAGCGATTTCAATATGCTTTTATTGTAATCACTTATAATATATATATATATATATATATATATATATATATATATATATATATATATATATATAGAATACCTCGCCAGCTATCAACAGGCCTGAAAGCGCGGATGCCATTATATATATATATATATATATATATATATATATATATATAATGGCATCCGTTATAATAAAAGCATTTTGAAATCGCTACACAGAAATTGTCATGTTTCAATACTATGATACCCAAGGAAGGCAGATTTTTCTACAAGTTGCAGGAGAAAGTTTTACATCTGGTTTTGTGGTAGTGTCTTTTGTCTTGATCCTAGTTCTGTGATTTGTTTCAACTCAGGAAAATACCAG